TTGCATTTGTACAAATCTGAAAATTTACTCTTAACGTCGCTCGTTCTCAAAACATGTAATAAAGCTTAATATTACAAACTAATGGCATAATATACTATTATCTAAGACTTTATTTATTTAACGTAAAAAATGGAAAAAAACGGAGGAGTTCAATCGGTTCACGGTTTCTTCAGCTCTGGGATCTGTGCCCTAACTCGTATACACATTAAATTTAATTACGAATAAAGGTATCAACGAGCGTTTTTGCCTAGAGTTGGCAAAAAAGATGGCAATAAAAATCGTGTAATAACTATTTGTAAACGCGAATCAGGTACAGATATTGGCTATTATCCCTTATCATGTCCTTTGTGTCGAAATCGCCTTACTGCGGTGAGAAAATGGGAAACGATTATTTGAATAACCACTTTCTCCACAGACCTAAAGAGAGCGTGCACAACAGTGAAGCAACATTTTGGTCCAGACGAAAAACAAGGTGCCATCGTAGCATTTTCTCAAAGGATCAGGAACACTCGACGAAAAACCCGATCGAGATGGGAATCTCTAGCTCTCAAGCTGAAGAAAACGTGTACAAATATCATTGTTGAAATAAATGTTATTTTCCATTTGGATAATTAGTACATCTAAATGTAAAGAAACAGTTATGCAGGGTAAAGGATTTTACTTGCACTGAAACGTGTGTATCGATTTTGATCGTTTAATTTCATCTGGCTATGTATTGTAAAATAATGTACATGAATTATATGATACTTTTTTGTAGTAAACTGCTGGTATTGACACCTGACGAATATGATTACTACGTTGAGTGTTATAATTGTAGATACCTGTATTGGCTGAAAATGTATTTCCATCCTTGAGTAAGTCATTGTTGACAAAAACACACATTCGAAAATCAAAAGGCAAGGCAATAGTAGAATTTCTAATTTAATAAAGTGAGGCTTACAAAAATCACGTGGATGGGATATACTTATTATTTGTACAATTCTTTTCTATAATCTACAGTCTGGGAGCTATAGGATGTGTGTCTACAGAATCTTATGCCGTATCTCGAGCGGGAATTAACATTCGTGGACAACACATAGTGTAGTAAACTTAATTTTAACTTCAATTCATTTAAATTGACGTTCCGTTTAAGGTTTGACCGAATTGAGATATCCAGACATTTTGTTACATTAACATCAATCATATAAGATCATATCAGATAAGATATTGTAGTTTTTAATGCAAAGAATATTCGCAATGAATACTGTTCTTCATTTCGAATTGCCGAGGGCATATTGTTTACGTATAGTAGAAAGATAATAAGACTTAAAATCGAAACTGCGGGACTCCATGTGCAATTGTCAAAGAATCCGAAAGCTGAGTAAATAATGTCCCTTCATTCCAGTTCGATATTCCTTCTCTCATCGTTCGTTAAGATCGTTCTTTAAGGTATGAACCCAACCAACCTAGAGCAATACCAAGCATTCCATACTAAAATAATTTTGAAAGAAAATCGTTAAGATCAATGACATCAAATGCTTTAGAAAATGTAAAAATATTCCATGAGGTGCTTCATTTTAATCCATTGAGAGCGCGACATCTTTAAGAAAAGAAAATACAGCTGTTTCCGAAGATTTTTAGTGTCTAAATCCATCTTGGCAATCTGAAAATGCTTCGTTTTTACTAAGAAAAGTTTCCACTTGTACGTAGAAAAGTTCCTCTAAATGTTTCTGAGAAAATTGACTCAAGAGAAATTGTCGTAAAATTTTGAATTTTGTTTTGTTTTCTTTTCTTTTTTTCAAGTGATACTTAATCTTAGCTGTTTTGAAAAGTAACATACAAAATAACTTATATTACAAACTATTAAAAACGTTCATAGATGCATAGCGATTCTATATCTAATTGGCATTGATGTTGTTTTATTTTCTTCGTTTAAAGGAATCAGAAAAAACAGAATTAATGCATTTCAGCACTCACTAGTCGTATCACGATGCATTAAATTCTAGAGTAAAAAAATAACAACGGAATGCTAGTACTTGACAAGAGGAGCTTCTTTTCATGCGATTAAAAACTGCTGCACCTTCCCCATCGGTGTACTTGTTCTCTGCTGCATTATTGAGCGAGTAAAGTCTCTTTGCATTACATTTTTAACACGATTAAACAATTTATGACTATGCAAACACTTTACATTACCTCCACTTTTAAAAATTAGATAAAATTCTTCCAACTTACTATCAAATATTACTACCAAACTGGACTATTGGTGCCAGAGTCGATTGCTTCATCGTCCATGATTTACATACAATTTCGCAATTAAATCTCGCTTGAATCTAAGTCATGCGACCCTTCGCCTTCGCCTTTCGTGACTTTGAACAGGTCTTGCCTCTGCTCCCGTCTTCCGCTTTGGCTGCTCTTGACTGCCAATTCGTCCTTCTGATTAGCTCTACTGTATGTTCGACTATTGTGTTTAGTAAGATTCGTGTTTCAAGTGCACCGCATTTTACATTCCTGGTTTAGTTCTTAATTATAGTAGATTGTTCATAATTATGGTTTCCTGAGGAAAGGTGAGGAAAGGTGAGGATGGTTTCCTGATTTCAAGTAGATCTCACATTTATAACAGACATGGTTTTCTTGTCAATTCTTTCCAAATCAGAACACTCAACACAAAATGTGTTGTGGTAGGAGGTAGGCAAATACGTCGGCGTCCCGGTTTTATTACACTGCTGGCTGATGGGTTGTATCCCTCGTGAGGAACAGGCGAACATTAAATGTTCGATTGATCGATATGTTCATGATTATCACTGAAATTGATATCTGCCCATGAAAGTCATTTAAGATTTTCAATTGGGCTGTGTTATTAAAATCATTTGAGCCGTTTAGGAAGAATTCTTCGTTAAACGTCACATTCTAGAATGATTGCTAAATTCGTGTGACATTCTGCAAAGCATGTTTAGCTGACGTTTACTTCAAACAGCTATTTGTCTTATCCAACCGCCTTTGTAGGCTGTTCACTTACGTGTCCAAGGAGAAATGGGTCTGTATTATAACCCTGCAATAAAGTAGCAGTCACGATAAACAACAGCAAAACTGCTGCCGGCAAACTGAACAATATGATGCACACAAAACATTATTTTATTGAAAAATCAAGGAATATACATAGAAACACTCATACTTAATCGTTTATTTATGAAAATAACACCTATTCATAATACTCATCAAATAACAAAGCATAATGCACACTTTCGTATACATTCTTACGAATCTACATTAGGTATTGGTATTTACTATACTCTACTTAGATATTGGTATAAAATAAGCTAATACAACTTCATCGCATAGATTCTTAATATTTCTTTCTCTTCTCCACTCCTTGAAAATTTCGTATTCTTTACGAGTCTTATCTTTAATCGAGTAGTAAATCTTCCACAGCTTTTTCAGCTTTAGCTTTAAATACTTTCAGGAATATATTTAATTTTGTCGCAACAGACAGCGATTGTCAACTCAAATATACCCTCCAAGGTCTCCAATGTAACGCCGAAATCAAAGTAATATCATTTCAAAATCCGAGCACATCATTACGCCTTGTAGAAGAGAAGTAGGCGTAATGATGTGATGATGTGATCGGATCTATTCAACTAACAAGGTCGGCCAAGACCAGGCGAATGCCGGAGGAGCGCCCTAACAAACGGGCCACGGACAGCGCGCGATCTTTTCTTCCTCTTCCTTGTCTTATCCTCACCCCTTACTTACGCACACTTACACTTGCATGCACTACGCTACCATACATGCCGGGAGAACAGTCGGGAACTTAGAGCTTGCTGGGGCGGTGCCCCGCTGGTGGGTGATTCCTGGTTGCGGAAAACCCCGCAAGCCGCCGAGTAGATCGGCGCTGGATCTCGTCATCCAGTGGGAGTAAATCACTGCCACCTCCCGCGATAAAAATACTTACGGGACTAATGACCTTAGCAGTTGACGCGCCTGAAAATACAATCAGGCATTAGGAACATAAATGTTCAGAAGAAGAAAAATAAACTTTTCTGCTACACATTTTTTGAGAACTATGATGACTTGCACTACCTAAATGAAATAAACATGATTTAAAATTTGTAATACATTTAATTTTTGCTTTGATTTCCGTTTACTTTCTCGCTACCACTTACGCAATAGAGAGAAAGTTATGTTATGCTGCGCGAAAAAACGAGGAATTTTCAGCAGAAAAAGTCTTCTTACAGGGCCCTGGAAACGAAAAAGTGGGTAAATTCCGTTGCTAAACTTATAAACACAATCCTTTAATACGTAGTGTAACCAGAATCCATGTTTTTTGGGTCCTTGATACCGAAAAATCGGATGACGGCAAAACTTCTTTCTGTCCGTCCATCAGTCCGTCTGTAAACAGCGCTAGCAACTAAACCGTTCAGCCAATTTACTCCAAAATTGATATTCCCCAATCTATCTGGCTGATGTTTCGGTCACTTGAATTTGAAACCGATACTTTAATTTTTTGGGGCACTTTATATGAAACCCTTGGAGCATTTTCAGAACTTTAAAAAAATGGCTTCAACTTTTTTTATTAAATTTTGTTGGATAGTGTAAAGGACGTTTAAGAGAATGGTTGCATGTTTCATTTTCGGTAAATACTCTCATTTTTCGAAAATTGAAAAAAAATCAAAACTTATTCGCCGTCTTCCTACAACCACAATTATGAAGATAGCGATTTTCCCTTAATGAAATCTGTTCCATAAAGATAGATTTTGAAATTGGGTCATATATAATTTTCGGAAAATTTGAGTACTTTTTGCGTAATTTTGCGTGAAAGAACGGGCGACAAAGCACGTGCAGTTTTAGCACTACCATTTTCCAATAATTTGTCGAATTTGTTCGCTCCTTATAATTAGATCCTTGGAAGAAACAGTGAGATGATCTAATGTGTGCTTCTGGAAAATGTCCTTCCTTTCCCGTGTGTGTGGTGTGGACGTGCTCTAACGATGGCGCTGTGTGATGTTGCGTGTGTGCTGTTGCAGAACTTCCGCGAGCAGCGCATCGACGGCTCGTCGCTGCCCCTACTCACCGAGGAGCACCTCACCAGCACGCTGGGCCTCAAGCTGGGCCCGGCCTTGAAGCTGCGGGCGCTGCTGGCGCGGCGCCTGGGCAACTGCGCCTTCTGCCTGCACTGCGTGCACTGCCACGGGGCGGCCGCGCAGCCCGCCCTCTCGGCCACGCCCGTCTCGCCCGCCCACACACCGCCCACGCCCACGCCGGGGCTCGCCCC